GGGGGGGGGGGGGGGGGGGGGGGGGGGTGCTTTGTCCCAATTGAGCTGCTTTGATAATGACTTTTCTGTAAATATGCGCGAACAAAACCACAAAACCAGTGTCTGTGAGATCGGTCTCAGCCTGGACATCCCGTGAAAATGACCTAAGTCACGAACAAAGCAGATCTTTCTTGATACCTTGTGAGGACATGAAATTAGTTGTTCTCCATTTATTTGGAACCTTCATCACTCTGGAAAAGCGGAACCTACTTCCAAGTGGAATAAACTCGCAAAAAAAGAAGGATCCTGTTTCAAGTGCAGCTTGCCGAGGCAGCGATAAGAGGTTTGCGCTCTTCAAAAAGAGCCAAATGCACGGCGCAAGCTGAAGGCGATGCTCAGAACCGATTTCAATGTTCTACCTTTTTGCTCTGTTTATCTCAGTAAGTAACAGTATAATTAAACGAACACCGTAATTCGGCCGACTATCAAATTGAGCAAACACAGCTTCCTTGGTGAATTGCCGTTTACGAGACACCTTTGCGGTTAGGTGTACAGCCAGGTCTGAACTTTTTAAAGGTGAATGTGAAGCTACAGTAGGAAATGCTGAGAGATGATAGTTTTGTATCGAGGTGCTCATTCATATGGCTCCGAGAAAGAGAAAAAAAGCATTGTCAAAATGAGAGCATAATTGATGATAAGACTGGAAAAGAATCAATTCAGAGAACGACTTTTTATATACATGGGAATCGTTCTGATTGGTTTTAACAACTGGAGTTTACAGGAAACAGTGCCCAAGCGATCCCAAGGGTAAGTAAAATCAGGTGCTCAAAGATTATAGATGTTGGATCTAGCTACAGTGATAAAGACGGAAGGAAATTGGCCTACAAGTTGCCCATCATTATTATAAGCCATTGGAACGACCTCCATCGATGGATGGAGGTACAGTCAAAAAAAGGGAAACATGGGCAGTAATCAAGAAAAGTTGGTGCTCGACAGGATTGAAACTAGTGAGCTGCCGACGACGATGGTGGCACTGGCTGTTGTCATGAGAACGAAATTACTTTGACGAAGATCATAGTTGAAACTTCAATTGATGAGGAGTAGCTGGGAGCTCTCGAACACCGTCCAATACTACGGGCAATACTTCGAGCCTTTGACTAGTGCTCAATTAGAATTGTTTACATTGGCTACATATTTGTCAATACTAGCTGCTGAAACTCACTACTATTCATTATTTGTTGTTTATTTTTCGGTGACGCCTTGAGGCGTTGCTATTTGAGTCTTCGCTATCTGACTAATAGTAATCTAATGGAAACTGCAAAAACTAATCTATTTCGCTGAAAGAGAGAAGAGTAAATTAGATGGAAGGGTAACTGAGAACGGCTTGAAAGGCAGTATAAAATCACATCCTCCCGGTAGCTGGATAACTTCTCTCAATTATAGCTAATGATTTGGAATAGAAAGTAATTGGACTGAAATCGATTAGGGAAATGGAAAATTGAATGAAGTTCCTAAAAAATTTGGACTACGGCCAAAAAGCCGAGGAGCGAATTAGATCAGTTCCCTAGAGGGTTCAGAGTCCTGAAACATGTGCTCATATCTACATCTACCCCTTATACGGTCAGTTGTGGGAAGAGAGTTGTGCTTTCATCGTTGTAAAGACTTTTGAAGAGGTTTAATTACGGAAGAACTACATTTTCATCCAGTTTGCGCTTCTGCAAAACAAGCGGGCCGAGCTGATGCAGTGACAAGTGGCGCACTGTCACGCACAATGGTCCGGGGGATTGGATCCTACCTAGATGGAGACTCGCCCAGGGTAACCAGGCCTTCCGTTCCTTCTGGGTCGCTTAATTATTGGAAGACTTGCTTTGGAGCATCAGAACATCGACTTGTTCATCGGATGACCACTCCAACTCCATGTTCAATTTCAACCACGACGGCATGGTGACGTGATATTTTCCACTTCCTCAGGTCTGGATTTATGGTCTCATTCTTATCACCGGTAACAGATATAGCTAGCTTATATCGTTTCCGATTAGGCTTGTGCATGAGTCTTGGACCCATTGATAATCCCAAGTTATCTCTCTGCTTAGCTCTCGCTGTCCATGTGATTAATGTGGAGTGTACACAAACGACTCTTTGAAGATGTCCGTAGCGATCCTTCGCTCTAGTGAGGAATTGATTCAAATGGAGAATCCTGATATTGACATTCCAGTTATCTACAACTAGTATCTCATGGGCTTTTCTATTGAGAAGGCTAGTATGCATGCTGCATGACTTGAGAACTGTAATTTAGAGGCTCCAAGTCAGGAGATTTGTGAGAAGCACCTAAAACGCTTAAGGTATCCTTCAGTGCTATCGCGGCTCAAAGGCACGCTTCACGATGAAAATGGTTACTGAGTTCTTCCCCAGGAATACTCAGTGGATCCCAAGGGTAATAGAAAGTACCCTCTCGCGCTTAAAAACTCGACGATTAGGGCATAAGCCCTGTTCCCGGCTCGCGCGGCCTTCCCGTGCCTCGATCGATGTCGCGTCAGACGAGTGTCGAGGCGATACAGATTGTAATTATTCGTTCTAGGACCCACACACGATCAGCTGATCGCCGAGTGATGAGGCGATGTTTTTCTCACATTCTTTTTTCCTCTGTTATACTTTTTGCTGCCGCGTTCTCTTATTCAATTTCGTACCCCAAAAGGCTAAAAAAAAAGGTCGGCTACTTTTGCTGTTACCAGGTTTTTCTTGTTTACTTATGCTTATAAATAAATAGATTTTTAGGAAAAATCTACGCAGATTGGCTGCCTCACCAACTCATTCGGTAGACATCGTCAACTGGGTAGGTGCCTGTTTGAGTTGCTTCCTTGAGAACACTTCTTGAGGAGATTGCTACAGAGATGAAAGCCGAAAGGATTCTCCAACAATTACACAAAGAAAGGACAGAAGCTGCCTGCTGGAGAGTTGACAACGCCGGAAGCAAATAGTGGTTCCCCACATGTTCCAAGGACCCCACAGGAAATATTGCGGGGTTGGGCTGGGAGAATCTGCCAAAACCTGAGGGTTCTTCTAGCCTCACAGCATTACCATCACTACTTTGAAGTATTGAAATGTCACCAGATTGAGTGGCGCTTAGATGATATAGCTACCCTCAAATCCTGTATCCGAGAACTTTTCTGATCCCAGTCCGCAGTGAGGGAGAGGGGGAGGGCGAAAGGCAAAGCAACTGCGGGACCATCGGGTTCAAGTGATAGAAAACAACGGCAAGTTGCACTGCTGTCTGTTTGAAATTAAACAATGAATTTTTGAAAATGCCCTATGCCGCATTTCTTGCAAGGCCTGTGCACCAACCTAATACATCAATCACCTCACTTGGGCTTCCCTTACGCTGTCCTATCGACTCCACTTGCTTTTTTTGGATCAGGTTGAATTGTCTTCTATTTAAAAGGCTAATGAATTATCAGGGAGCGAAAAATAACTCTACATATTGATCCAGGAACAGGAGGGAAATGGCGAAAATCCACTTGAACCCTTCAAGTGATTGACTGAATTAAAATGAAACTCAATACAGCTTCACTCGACTATCCAGAAATTAAATAAACAATTTCTGAAACCCCGAAAGCAGCTCAAGGCAGTGTGGGCCTGCATGCATGACACCAATGCTGAGCACAGCCTTTTCATGAAGAGGTTTGGAACATTCAGGCCGAGGTAAGGCTTCAGAAGTGATTCAAATAGTATGTGTAAAAAAGGCAGTAATTCTACTGCTTCGGGACGGAGAGGTGTAGTGGCGAGGGGCGCATTATCACACATGCATGGTCACAGGTTCGAATTCTGCAGCGATATCTGCCTAGACCTAAAAACATTCCAACTGATCGTTTAATTGCCACCAGATCCGTCTGGGAGGATAAAAGCGCTGATCCGTCCATCGCAATTCGTTGTATAGGCCATGTAGGCATTCAATACGTGAATACGATTCTGAATGGAGGTCGAATGTGGGACACATCCATTCGATTAATTGACGGTCGAAGGCTTTATCTTCCATTTTTTTTTACTATTGCTTCATTTTTGCAGACACGATGGTCCTTTTATGTAAGTAGTAGTACCACGAAATTGTATGGAACTCTTTGTTTCTGTTTCTCTCTGTCATCATTCTGTGAGGGTACAAATGGTTTGCAAACATAACGCCAGCCTGCCAGGTCGAGGAACCTTTTAGTTATCTGTAAGTTACACTTGAACTAACTGAAGTCTGAAATGGTGCTTGATGTGGATGAATCTCAAATACTTTTTGGGTTTACTGGCGAAGGCGACAACGCCGAAACGTTGACCAAATAAAAGTTTTATCATCTTGGCCGAGGCTACACAAAAACACCTTCATATATGGCCTCGAGCGTTCCATTGCCCAAAAAGGCAAAGCAGTGTGCAAGGAAGTGAATGGGCAGGGTAAAAATCCAAAGGTTATCATGAATTCGAGATGAAGCCGAGTACCTGATACCTACTTCCTCTAATGTGAATTGATTAGAGTAGGACCATCAGTTTTCTCATAATTACCTCTTTTATCGAATGAAAAGGATTTTTTTTCACATTCACAAGGTTACAGATAGCTTCATGATATCAGATGTGTAAATAGTCATCCGAATCTCCTATCCACCACCACCACTGAAGGACCAGACAGGAAGTGGGCCTGAGCCCAAAATTTGTGATGGGGAATATTCATTTGGCATTTCGTCATTTAAAGAGAGAATGCGAACAACGGTCCATCCTGCACTCATTCCAGAGGTTAACTTGAGGAGACGTCAAAGAGACGAGGAGATTCATCAGTAGAAGTAATTCACTTGCATAGTCTTCAGGATATTCTGGATGCACTTACCAGCTTTGACCTGATATTTTGCTTTATAAGCTACGGCATATAAGCCATTAAAAAGGCGAGCGTAAGGAAGTCTCAATCGTGTAAAAGATAAGAGCACGGTGCCCCATATAGCACAAGTCCAAGTTCGAGTCCCGTCCTAGACCGAAATTTTGGCCATAACTCGCCGAACTTGTGAGGCCTTTATTAGCGTTGTTGAAAATACCATTGTAAGAGCGAATTTAGCTGAACTTGTTAATGAAATGGTAATTGCGGTGGATGGAAGTCATAAATTAGAGGGGCCTTTAAAGGCGAGCGTTGCAATTAATAGATTTTTCTAATGTGCATTGTCTGCTGTGGGTGTCCATTACACTTTTGGCAACGTCTAGACCTCGTTCTGCGAAAAATAGTTTCTACTGGTTCTGGTGCTACCCCGCACATTAAATCAGAGTGGACGATATTCTTCTCCCACCCAGGTATGATCATGTTCTCTGTTGAAGTGAAAAATCTTCCCCTGCCTTTCCACAAATGTGGGAGAGCTTAGATCTTTTAGAAATAGCTTCATTCAGCCGTCGGGAACATTGCCCATGAACAAAATCTTACTGATGGGAGTACCGGTTTTTCTCTTCTTGAGCTTCCCCCAAGTACTCATTAGAAGTACCTCTGCGAAACCCTATTCATATATACAATCATTCTGAGGGCTATTTTTAGACCCTTACCAAGCTCTCAACCGATCAACCGAGGAACAAATGAGCATACAAGAATTAGAGAGATATTTTCACAATTTCACCGAAAAGCAAGTATAGCTATTGCTGCGGGTGGCCAAGAATGTAACCTGAGCACTACTTGCTACGGGACGGGAGAAAGAAAAAGCTTCTAGTTGATTAGTTTAATTCTCAACTCAAGAGCCTAGCTTAGCCCTTTTTGGCCCGTCTAGAAGTGTAAGTGAGGGAAAGGAAGAGTTAAAAGGTGGGGTTGAAAACTGGTAAAAGGGAGGGTCTGGGAGAGAACATGACGAGCCCAAATGCACTGCAGATTCAGTCTCCAAATCTTGTCGATTTCGGTAATACTATGGACGCATTAACTGGAAGAAGGATGACGCAAAGTCGCAAGGTTTGTAAAGGTAGGTTTCGTGAAATTAGCTCCTTTATAGGATGACAGTATCATTTAGACTTTTGAAAATTAATCATCAGAGTGAGAGCTTTACTAAATCACAGGTGAAGTCAGTTATATAGAACCTTGAAGTATTTTGGCGTTTGTTCATTCCGTTTGCGGGATGCGCCCCGCATTCGACTTCCACTCAGTACCGTAGTGACGCTTCAGAGTACTGTGTAGCCTATACAATATCCAGCCGATGTACAAGTCAGTACTTTTAACCTCCCAGAGGAGTCTTGTATCAGTTGTCGGCCTTAAAGGTATGGAAGGCTTGACTAGTCTAAGTGGATATCCATAAGGAACTCGAAGCCATGATCATGCCTGTGTGATAGTGCTCAACTTGCCACTACACCATCTCCTCTCTGAGGGGCGATTTATAACTAGGATCGACTGGAACATTTGTTGGCAGTAAAACATGCTAACCAATCACTCTGCTAAAATCGCGCTCAATTTTCAAAGTCTTTCCAAAATGCCAATCCCTGTGGACGGAGCAGTTGCAGAAGTCTAACTCTTAAGTCCATTATGCAAGGTGATTTTAATCCACATTTTGCTAGCTGACTTTGAGGCAAGTTTAATATTCTATTAGAGGAATATGGCTCTTTCAAACACAACTTTGCTTCTGGCTCTTTTCTAGGTGCGTTGAGGGTATCCTCCAGCTCAATCTTCCTAATGACTATCATTTGGGAATGAATTGCTCTGTGTCCTTTGCGCAGAGTGGGCCCACAACTACCTTGGATAGCTACAATGACAAATGGAGTAGGGAATGGCACTCATGGAAAATCGATTTTCGATTCTTGGTCAATAAATATTCGTTTCTTCGGGAGGATCTCAACAGATGTAGAGCTAGTTCCTGATTTTTTTTTCTCCAAAAGAGATAGATCCCCAATTAGAAGCAGATTTGATCGCTATCGGCCATTGATTTTGAGTTTTGATTGAGTAATCTTTACTTATTGGCAAGTATGTAAAGCTCGGGTGCTTGAGGCTGCTACATTCGGCGGAGCTGAAGCTGGTACACATCTGCTCCCCTTGCAGTCCTTGCAGCAGCTAAGGACCCGACCAGAGAGACCATGGAGCTATGGTGATCCTCGCAGCAGTCAATTTACCTCTTCTCATCCAACTAATCATGGAGGAGAAGCTTGATCTGTTCGATTCCAACGGCCATTTCCGTACAGAAGTAATTCTACTATGGCAGTCGAGAACGTTGACCACCGTCGACCACTTTAACCAGTATCAATACCCACTCAATGGCGAAGGGAAAGCTTTTGGGCTTATCCATACAGTTTTTGTGCGCCCCCACGATCGATTTCTATTCGGGTACTCAGAGCATATGTTTGCATTCAAGGGGTGTTCAATGACTTGCTAAGTCCAATAGGCAGTGCTGTAAGCCTTGCAAATGGGACAAGTACTAATTGATCGGCCCAGAAAAATGAGAGGCTTAGTAGCCATCTATGGGTATTGATCCAACCAAGGGATAGGAGCGCCTTTTAGCACTACCTTACCTACGCTCGATACCCTGATGTGGCTTCAAGTTGACACGGCTGGTACAACCCTAAGTGACCTCAGTGTTCATTCTGGATAGAAGTCTGAAAAACTGAACCTACGGACGTTGAAAGGCCAGGAAAGTTTGCTCTNTGAGTTCAAAGCTCGCTATCAAGCCATCACTCGGCAATGATTAAGCTAAACTGGCCAGAAGAAGCAGCGAAAGACCCTCAATTACTAGTTAAAAATCGACCAACTCTTCAAAGTTCAATATTTATATGCTGGTTGCATTCATGGCTTAATAAACTCGCCTTTTGCAGCCCCGCTGGAGTGCCGCTACAATAATCGGGCTCAATCACTTCAAAGAGCACAAATCATGGACAGTACGGACTCACCGTCACGATGCTTCGAGTTGCGATGGAATATTTAGCTAGATGAACCACAGGTTTGAGAAATGTCCAGCCAAAAGTCATTTTTATTGCCGCGAATATCGACGGAGAATATTGACGGCTCAAGCGCTTTACAGGAAGGTTGCCGTCGGAAGGTCGGTCGATGTTTTGTTAGTGTAGGGATTGCGTGCTATTTGATGTCAATGGGGATCGGCAACGATGGCTCGGTAGATAGTCGAGGAAAGGGGGAAAAGCGGGGCGAAAATTGAATGGGTTGAAAGCAATTTGTGTGTGGTGGTTGTGGTGGGTGAAATCATTGGCCAAGCCAATCCGTAGAAGAACGATGCGGCCAACGATGCGTCTCAGCAACGCTCTCGTCTCATCACAGCGCCAGGGCGACGATAGAGGTGATGGGCTTAATTAGATGAAGACGAAGAGTGTTTGGGGTAAGACAGTGATAAATCCCCGTCTCTCGTCTGTCCCCAAGGAATCGTTCATGTGCACCCCCTTCACTAATGGAATAGGAGGCTACTGACTTCAGAGAACACATTAGGAACGATGAGTCTGTACTTGAGCCACTAAGACAAAAAGGAGAGGTGAGGAGACCTCCGTGAAACGAACCTCATACCAGCCACAGCAGCAACCCTGTTCTCGCTGTTCTCCACCGTTACCGTTACGCTCCATATTGTTCTAAAATCATCATCGATACCGTACGCTACCGTACTTGATCACACAATGTTTTGTTTTTCTTTAGCTGTCTGTGACCTATACCTATGCTCTGCTATTTCTCAAATACTTTATCAGATTCGCACAAATGTAAATAAATAGCGCTCTAAGCAATGCAATAGTAAACAAACAAACAGACACTTTGGCCACTGTCTACCACTGTGGATTCAATGGATCGAAGCCGGCTGGATATTCCGGTTGTGGGAAACTGTTCTGATAGTTTGGCCCTTGAGTACCGTAATTAGGAGTTTGATAGGTTTGTGCTGCTGTCATCTCCGTCGCATTGTTATCGTTCTCGATTTTTCCGTAGTTATCGTTTTTCAATGTCGTCTGTTCCGGTTTTGGCGTAAGCGAATCGTACCCGTGTACCTTTTTCAGCATAAAAATCACGGGAGTATAGCCAACATTCAATACGAAGATAATAATATTCAGAGCGAAAAAGCTCATATTGCCCACGATCCAACCGGCAATGATTGGTCCAAATGCGTAAGCTAGTGAATAAGAAATGTCTGCAATTGCGTATACGGAACCGTAGACGGGTACATGGCGTGTATCCACGAGATATCCAAGCATTGGTAAAAGCGAAGTGTCGATAAGGGCAATGCCGAAGCACACGAAGCTCAGTGGAATAATCAGCTGCATAACTGACGTAGTATATGGTACGGCGAAGCATGATATTCCTTCCATAGCCAGACCAACAGAGGCGATCGCCCAGGTGTGATTTGGGAATGCCTTCAGAAGTTTGACGGTCACGTAGACACCGAGCACATGGGGGAAGAAGGCCGGTAACCAGATGACCCCCACCAGCCACACAGGCGTATCCGGCATACTTTCAGCCATCCAGTTGGTGATGGTTGGTTCAAGAAATGCCAATGAGACGTTCGCCATGATCAGTGCTCCAGAGCAAATGGCGATCATCGGGTCCATGAACAGACGCCACATCGGAGTGCCTTTGATGCGTTCTCCAGCCGCATTGACGGCTGCACGTCGACCAGGTTGGATCACCATGAAGACGGCCAAAGCATCCGCGAGGCAAACGAACGAGAGGATCAGGAATGGTACGGGTTTCCCGGCAAGCGAGTAAAGCACTGATCCGAATGGTGGTGCTACGAGACAGCCGAAAGAGATAAAGGCCAGGGCGATACCAAGTGCTGCTGATCGTTCATTTTCTTCATTAAAACGGTCGGCGATCATAGCCAGTCCTGAGGTGTCGGCAAAAGCTGAGCCGAATCCCTGAAATAGAAGAATTTCTGATAATTCTTGGAAAAGCCAGATTCTTTGGATGATAATCCCATTCTTATGAGTTTACCCTTATCACTCGAGATTAGCAACTCCCCCAAATTGTGTCGTGGCCATCCATTTTACCCCGAAGAAACGACTAGAGTCCTTCAATCACCAACATCGACTTATGGCTGCAAAAACCCCTGGGGAGATGTGGCCGGCTCGGCTTTCAAAATCGAAATGCGACGATAAGGCAGACGTGTCAGCGTTTTCTTCAAGATTTATGCTATTCACAAGAATCTTCGTTTACATAGCTAAGATTTATTTGAAAGCCATCTTGCAAAGGACGATGTCTTCCACCGAGCGCATCCCTTCCATGACACCCGGGGAGGGGGGACGGGGTAACTACTACCTTGGAAATCTCAAATTTATGAAAAAATTGAAAAAAAATTAGCTGGAGGAACGAACCTGTAATGATCTGGCGAAGAACATGACAGTGTAGCTGTGTCCGAGAGCAAATATAGCTGTCGAACTGAACATCGTCACTAGACCGATGACCATAGGAAGTTCGTAGCCGATTCGGTCAATAATATAGCCAGAAAATGGATTGACGAATATTTGGATGAGTGCTTTTGAAGCGAATAACCAGCCAAGTTCCATTTCTTCATCTTTGTAGTCGATTTTGGCACCAACGGCTCGTACTATGACGGTACCGTTGGGAAGACGTTCGGTTTCATTGTGATAGCCATAGAATTCCACCGAATATGCATGAATATCACGAAGGTATTTAGGAATAATTGGCACAATAACCATGTATAGCATGTTGTCGAGCAGTAGAGCCACAGAGACGATAACCAGTACGAGTTTCTTCTGATTCTGTGGCTGCTCGACCCATTGCTTTGTAGCTGCTCGGACAGCGTCCGAGTCGCGATTCAGAATTGGCACGTTGAAGCCCATAGTGGCGCGATTACGGTAGGATGATTAGGATGATGATAATGACGTTGATGATGAGAAGGAGCACGGTGACGAGCACGAGCACAGCGAGCACCAACCGATGGGCGGGGCGACTAGCGCTTCATCTCAGACACTGACAGACACATGACACAGCGCGGCGCCACACTCGCCTGCAACAAGCGAGAGCCGAGTCAATTAGATAGATCATCGCTCGCCCCGCCCACCGATAACATGATCACTAATCGATAATTTGAAAAATGTTCGATCGATATACATGACTGTAGTCTGTGGGCGGGACGTACAGAAAACATGCGACAATGGACGTTTACAGTAATATTTAGAATTTGGAAATCCATGAAATTCATTTCTGATTGGAGGAGTGAATTGCCGACGAGCAGTAATGCGTACAAATGGATGAAGGAATATTTGGGGATTACTGAGTTTAGCCAATCAATCAATGGGCTTTCCCACCATGGAGGTGCTAATGTGCATAACCCTCTAGATTTGTCGGACCTAAATATACAGAGCATGGTGGTCTGTACAGGAAACACCATGGACTGTTATGGCGAATGGAACTCTAATTGGGGCGTGACAAGCGGTGATATGGGCGGATATAACTATGGTAGCACTTCCTTATATAAACTCCACCCTCGATGTAGAGAATTGTTGAAAAGGTAACGGCAAAAGGACGAATTCCTTGGGGCACGAAAAGGTAGTGCTTGCTGGATGGAAATTCTGCGGGGAACCAGTTCATCTGGTATATGCACCAAAACCGGCTGCGAAAACGAAACTTCGAAGTTGTCGATAAATTCAATTAAATCTTTTGTAAGAGTATATTACCAAGTTGTCCACATTCATGTTTGATATGGGTTATCAGGGATGGCCAGCTCAAAATGTTTTGGTTAGATGGAATGACTAGTTGTTTCACTGCGCATTATAGCCCCCAACCATAATCAAGCTCACAAAGAAGTGGAGACTGGGAAACGAGCTGTATTTCACATAAGTCCAGTAAGCAACCTAGGACGGAGAAAAGTGCAGGAAGGAAAGGGGTAATGGAGTGGTAAGGGCTCTTAAAAAGCATCTTGAATACAAGAAGTAGTAACATTTTCCGTTGTGTGGCTTCAAGAACATGGGGCGTGATTACCTGCTCCGCTCCTATAAAGGTTAGTATCTGCTCCGCTCTGAAGCTGCTTTCACTAGAAGCCTGGCTAGCGAAGTGAGCTTCTACTAAAGTATAACTTCGTACAGTATACGTTATATATGGTGACGGAATTGTTAAAACTGAGAAAAACGAGTGTCCGAGCGCTCAGTATCCTTGACGAATACTTTACAGAATCGGGCTCTGCAGGGTAACCTTATCTATCCGACGGAAGTGCAGTCACCTATGCGACTAGTGCTACCTGTTCATCGGCTAATTTACCCTCTTAATCCAATCAGTGATGAATTTCGAAGATTTTACACAGCTACATTTAGAGCACAGATCTAGGTCACACTGCTTTTAAAGTTTTTATTTATAAAATTTAAAAAATCAAGGGAAGTGCTTACCTAGTAGAATCAATATTGGAGATTACGAGAGCGTCGACACACCGAGACGAGCGCGATTCTGCAACAATGTTCGCAATAGTTTGTTGAATACGGCGATCAATAATCGATTCGAGTTACAGTAAGTTTGAGTAGTGACGAGCTCAATCGATCCACAAAATCGCAACAATCAAATCATATGACATTCTGATTGACTAAGTTTACTATTGAAGAAGAATCGAACCAACAAAGAGTAAACCCGAGCTTTAGAAGACAAAGAATTCCTTATCAATGTGAAGAACTTTTATTTATCGAGTTTTTATGTATACAGTTTGCTGAGAGTAGAGGGCTTTCAGCGGCTACGGCACACTATCGCACGTGAATCCGCGTGTTCGGGGATCGAATCCTGGCTCAAACCTCGCCCAGCAAAGCTTTTCATTCCTCTGGAGTCGGTTATTCGGTACCGAATTCGTCTGGGAGGATAAAAGCACTGACTGACTTGTAGATCGGTTGGCCACAGCATGTCACTGTATAGGCCACATACCCATACAATATCACTACGATTCTGAATAGTAGTCGTATGTAGGGCGCATCCCAAAGACGGGCTCATTAACGTCAAGAACCTTATTTATCTATACTTTGTGTGATTTACTTTCTACGAGCTACTTAAAACATATGAAGTACGGAGGATGAAACTTTTTGGACATTTATGAATCCCGCTTGAAGGATGCGTCCCACATTCGACTTCTACTCAGAATCGTAGCGATAATTGAATGCGTATGTGGCCTATACAGTGACATGCTGTGGCCAACAGATCTACAAGTCAATGTCTTTATCCTCCCAAACCAGTCTGGTACTAATTATCCGACCTCGAAGGGATGGAAAGCTTGGTTGACCTGAGCGGAGATCAATCTAGGATTCGAACCCCCGACCATGCGTGTGTGATAAGTATGCCACTTCCTACTACATTACCTCCACCCCTTAGAACAAGTAAGAATAGAAACCCATAGAGAGAACCCATAAGAGAACCTCCTGACACAGGTATCATCGAAGCACTCAATATATGAGCTACCGAGTGAAATGCTTGAAATAAATCTCAGAATAACATTATAACAGAAGCCAGTTAATAGAATAATCAACAAAGGATCGTAATTTGCTATCCGGAATACAATAAAAATAACATTAAATTTAAATTATTCAATAGAGTCATGATACAATAATAACAGGAACCAATGAATGGAAAAGGATCAGGTAAGGAAGATAATGAAGAGACAATCCAGCAGGTGACGCTTTACTTTTCCACTTTCCCTTTTTCCTAGGGTTCTGAGAAACTGAAAGGTATTAACCTGTAATTCGTTTTTGTGCTCAACAAAACAGTCAAATGTTGCCCTTATTGTTCATTTTGATGAGAAGGAATTGCCATTTGGGAGATAAGAATACTGAGAACCTATGTGAGGATTAGGGATGTTTTCGGGAATACTTAGAGAGGCTATGAACAGTATGAAATGTCAATTATACAAAAACAAAAAATTTAATCCTGAATAACGGCTTCGTCAGGGAGTGCGAGCGACCCGAAGGGTCCGATCTAACGGGGTTCTTCATCGTCACAGAGCGCCTCTATCCAGTCCTTCACTCCTCACTTTATTACCAGCTGCAAAATGCGAGGTGAGCCTTGAAGTTATTTACTGGTGGATGGGAGCTCTCTGCACGTTTCGTCTATGATGATTGATACAGAAAATAGAATAGAGAGAGAGAGAGAAATACCCAGGAGACAAAAAGAGCGGAAATAGGGAAAAACCCAGAACCATCCCCTACTGGACGCCTCTGGTAGGAGTGATGAAGTAAGTGCGGAGAGGCTATCGTGCAGGAACAATCAAAAATGGTCTAGAATATCATTCAAAGTAGAAGTGGATGAATAATTAAGTTTAATTACCGACCACAGCCGAATATAACTCATTTTATGTTTCCGAGGAGTGCACTTTTTGTCCGGTCAGGAGAAGAAGGCTCGATACGTCAGACAATTGTCATCAGCTAATCCTGTGTGTGTGAAGACTTACAAAGAAAAAAAAACAGTCAACAAGCCCAAAGGATTCAACACGAATCATATTTTTTTGAGCTCAAACATAAATCTTTCTCTCCGAAATAATCGCAGAAATTTGTATTTGGCCGTCTGGCTCATAAAATTGTCCCTTCATGGATAGGTGATCACAGTCCTTATTATGGATCTTTAAGGGATCTCTAATCATGAATTGGGTCCTGTAGTTCTGTCAATACAAATGGAGGACGAATGCAGGGCGCATCTCAAAAGGCATTGATTGACACCGGAAGCTTTATTCTTGTGGCTTTATTCTTCTTGTGAATCATGTGTATTTTTCAACTGTATATTGTTGTCATTATCACTAAGGTAGGGTGTTTACTTTGTTCACCCACCTCAACAGTACTTCAGTTTATCGTATCCAGGTAAATCCGTGAACTGCAAAAATCCGAATAAGTTCCGTTTCTATCAAATTGGATTCCAGCACTGTGAAGAGGAAACCACTCTAATTGAGTTGGACGATTTTTCCTGAATGACCCTCTTTCTATGGGGTTCAATCGAATGGATTAAGTGGATCGAAGTTGAGAATGAATCAGTCAAAATTTTAAGAGCTTAATTGGTCTGAGCGAAAATATAGGATTTCCAGGTAATTTTCAAAAATCCCCAAAAAAAAAAACAAAAATTTGTGAGTGATTATTGAAAATTCTTCAATAACTTGGATGAACTGGGCACGAAACTATCGAAACTATCGTTTTGTATGAAAATCGTAATCGTAGCTGGAACTGAACGCAGGGCAGAAACCCCAGTTTTTCAGAGAATCCTTTCAAAGTTTCCCACTAAATCGATTAGAAGTTCCCTCGCTATGAGAACTAAAATTCTGATGGCTCGAAAAATAGTTTTAAAAAAAAGTTGGTAATTCTTATTGAAATGGCTAACTCATTTTCATCATTATAGTATGGCTTCAGCCAAATCTTGTCATTTGGAATATTCCTGGAAGTAACCGTAGTGATTGGGTAGATGAATTGGCGTAATGTAGCCATTGGTGATTGTGATGGAGAAATTTAGATGTGGTGCTAAATGTGCTTTAACAACCAAGTGAATTTTTCATTTTTCAGTTTTCAGAGTTTCGGTTAGGAGTTTCTAGCTGTAATAACAATGCCATTTGCCAGAATTCTTCACCATTAAAGCCCGCAGACGTATCAATAACCATCATTAATTATGTTTTTTATTGTTCATTTATAAGTTGGCGTCATTTAGTCGGCAAAAACTTTCAGGACATCAGTAGTAATTAAGGATTCTCTGTTCGACTCGTCACCAGACTAGTTGAGTTCGACAGTAGTACTCCCTAATAATCGAAATTATAAGTGGAAAAACTATTACTACTAAACTATTATTATAGGTACAGTTGTCATGTATCATCGTACGTTCACGAGTGCACTTAATAATT